GGGAGCTGATGGTATTGCACACAAGAGGTTTCAGGGGACTAAACACAGGCAACATAGCTTCTGGAAATGACTACCAAAAGAGACAAGCAATGGGAGAAGCTATGCATACTCCAAGCCTCTAGTGGAACATCCTTCCATAAAGGCATCTGAAGATCAGTCAGGGGCACTGAGAGAAACAGGTGGCAGCACCCTTCACACGATAACATTTTCCCGCCCTAGGTGCCAATGCTCTGCGGCTGCTATGAGCAACACTGTGGGCAGCAGACAGTTGGCAAGTGGAAGCATGAGCTGGAAAGGGTGCAACAAAGCAGGTGCAGTTTGGTAACTGATGCTGAGAGGCTGTGTTGTGACCCTCCTGCAGGTGAGGCCTACATTCAAGTTCGCTCCGTTTACACTACAGCAGGTGAGAAGATTGGGGTCACTGTAATTTGGGCCTAGATGCAATCATGTCCCATTTTTTAATCACAGATAGTGAGGCTGGATGACATTCGGGTTTTAAGAGTTTGTATTTTTAGCTACTTTATTGAGGGATGATTAGCCAAAAGGCTTATTCGTATCTTATTTAATCTTCAGTGAATTTGTGAAAAGTATGCAATCATAGACTCAGCACCGTCATCAACACCCAACACATATTCATCGCCTCCTAACGTTTCTTCAGTCTTCCGTGATTACTAGTAGTAGTGTTGTCTAGGGGTGTGTTGAAAGAACTTTACATAAGATCTACCCGCAACAAATTTCAAGTATGTATCAGAACTCTGTATTTAAGATACCATGATATATGGTACACCCCTAACCTTGTTTGTCCTGATAATTGAAACTTTATGGCCTGTAAACATCACTTCTCCAATGCCTCCTCCCACTTCTAGGGACTCATATTCTTTGTCCTAGCTGGAATGTACTTATTTAAACTCTGCAATGACTTTCAACCCCTGTACAATGAGCCATGAGGCCCCCTAATGACCTAACTACACTTCTCCAGCCTTGTCCATGCATATTCCAACCTAGCTACATTACAATTCTCACAGCTTTTAGATAGCTCCCAGTAGAGTGATAGCTTGTATCTGCTTCCTTTGCCTGGAACCCTCTTCCTCCAGAAATGCAAAGCTTGTTTCTTGTGCTTGCTTGGGGTCTCTACTTTAATGCCATCTGCTCGATGCAACCAGTCTGGCCTTGATCTTTGAAATGATATTTTTAAGTTCTCACTCATCTCCTTTCTTGATTCAGTTTTTAATTGTATTACAAATCATCATCTCATGTATTTTATCTGCTTATTGTCTTTCTCCCCAACCCCTCCATAAACAATGTAAGTTATATGAGGACAGAGCATTTTGTTTTTGTGTCCCTGTTGTATTTCATTACTTGTAATAGCATCTATCACATAGTAAGACTCCAATAGTTATTGGTTGAATATGTAATATAGTGGGAATGCAGTGATCTGGGAGCAATGTGACCTACAGTATTTGCTAGTACCTTCCTTTGTGTCTTTACCAGTAAAGTTAGAATAATACAGAATAATAGTATCTGCTCAAAATTGTTATAAGGACTATGTGATCAATGTGAATATAGGATGCATAGAGCATCTGACCTACCCCATGTAATATCATGCTTAGTCAAATGCATGTAGTGTGTGTGTGTGTGTGTGTGTGTGTGTGTGTGTGTGTGTGTGTGTGTGTGTGTGTGTGTTCTAGGGCTTGAACTCAGAGCCTGGGCACTGTCCAGAGCTTTTTGGCTCAAGGCTAGTGCTCTACCACTTGAGACACAGGTCCATCTCTAGCTTTTTGCTGGCTAATTGGAGATAAGAGTCTCACAGACTTTCCTGCATGTGCAGACTCCAAACTCTAATCCTCATATCTTAGCCTCCTGAGCAGCTAGAAGTACAGGCGTGAGCCCCCAGCACCCAACTCTCAAATGGTTTTTATTGTTCAACCACTTTTGTCTATAAAGGAGGTACTTTGCTGGGCACTGGTGGCTCATCTCTGCAATCTTAGCTACTCAGGAGGCTGAGATCTGAGGATCACGGTTCAAAGCTAGCCCGGGTAGGAAAGTCCATGAGACTCTTACTCCAAAAAACTACTAGAAAACCAGAAGTGGCATTGTGGCTCAAGCAATAGAGCGCTCACCTTGAACTGAAGAGCTGAGGGACAGTGCCCAAGCTCAGAATTCAAGCCTCACAACCAACAAATAAATAAATAAGGTACTTCTCTTGTTTTGTAGTATGTAGGGGATTGTCAATATAGAATTATAATATGGCCCATGGAATCAGTATCTGTGTCACATATCTGGCAGTGATATCCGTACTTGCTTTGGGATCATACAAAATGGAACAGGATGTGACAACTTATAAAAGAGGCTTTGCAGCTTGACTATTTTGAATGGTCCAGACAGAAAAAGAAGTTTTTCTGGTGGAATACTAGTAAATGATGGGACAATTTAACAGGAGAAACCTGGTAATGAGGAAATGGTGCCTAAGGCAAGGTGATGAACTGGTTTTACTACCTTGTGTAGGTAACCTGAAGAAGCAGTCTTGTGCTTTTGCCATCCTTTAGATACAAGTAGAGAAGATGTTCATCCGCAGGTGAAAAATTTGGAGCCCAGACACCTGCCCTTTTCTGTTTATATGGCTCCACTTAATCAAGTCTTCTTGGTTTTCCCCTTATTTTCTCCACAAGGCAAAAAGATATGAGACAGGCTTTCTCCAAAACCACAGCTTACTAAGAGAACACAGTGACTGAATCCTTCTGAGAGAACTCTGGACCATTATGTTCTGATTCTACCAGCCCCATAGATTCCCTCCAAAAATGAATCTATTTCTAGAGAAATTACCAATGACTAACCTTCTACCTCTTTTTCTAGACTTCTGTTTATCATTTCTTGTATTCTGTGTTCTCAACAGAACATAGTAATGTCAGCAAATCATATCACCTTCTTGGTTTTCTGCCTGGAGACATGACTACTAAGGAAAAAGAAAAATCTAGTAAGTTCTATGCAGCAAAGTTCTAACACAGTGATACCACTAACCTTCTCCCACTATGATTAAGAGGCATACCTGGCTCTTTGATAGCAGATTTTCACCCACGGATTTGACAGAATTATTCAACCCAAAGATTTACACTACAGGAATGAGATAGAACTTTTCTAAGAAGACCATAGATAGATGTTTAAAGCTCTCATATTCTGTTGTATTTCTTGTCAAAATAATAAGATATCCCTGATCAGTCTTTGATCCCATCTTTAATTGGGCCCTGCCAATTTCATAAAACAGGAGAAATCATACCTTCATACTTCATCAAAATCTATGCCAACTTCTCAACTACAGCCAATTGTCAGTCAGAGAAGTGGAAATCAAAAACTATTTTATTCAGGAACCCCTGAACTTCCTGAAAATCATTGTACACAGCAGTCACACTTCCCTAGGAAAGTACCTGGGGATCACCAAGAAACCCAGAGTTTCAAAAATAATTAATAACAATAACACACTAGAATCTCCTCCTTCCTAATTACATCTATGTCTCTTAGCTTCTTGCCATTTATTCACAGAGTAACCTGAAGAAAAGACAAAGCCCGGTTAACATTTTAGCATATTTTTTCTTTTTCTTTCTGATTTTCTTTTTTTCCTTCTCTCCTATTTTCCCCCTAAATTCAACATGAAACCTCAGCTGGACTCTAACTCGCTATGTAGTCCAGGCCTGCCTCAAACTCACAGCCTTCCTGCCTCAGGCTCAAAAATATTGGGATATCAGACAAGCAACACTGTAGCCTGCTCTTTGGCAGCTTTGAACAATACTAGTTGTCTAGCACATCTTCTATTGATACCAGCACTTTGGAGAATTATCAGCAGCTACAGCCTATCAGAGAGAAATTGGTATCACCAAAACCTTTTCTGGTAAAATTATATTAAGTAAAGTAAGCCAGACCCAAAGAAACATAGGTCCCATGGTTTCCCTTATCTGCAATAACTAGTGTATGTCTAGGACAAGCAGAAGAGGTCAAAAGCTATGCACATATAACCATATAAGTTGACACTAAGTGAAATTAACCCCAAGATAGGGACATAGGAGATTTTATCTTTCTTGTTGTTCTTTTCAACGTATTTAAAATGTACGATGTGACTTTTCTTTTGTATCTTTGTATGTTCTTCCCCCATGGTATCACCCCTGTTTTCACTGTATTTGATTCTGGTGTCCTGCATTTTGTATATAATTTTTTTTTCAAATTTGTGGAGGGGAAGGGAAATAACAAAATGCTGAAACAAAGATACAGGATAACCCATTGTAACAATGAGATGTACAAGACACTATGTTGAAAATGAACTTTACAACTTTGCAGGTGGTGGGGGAAGGATAGGGGAGGGAAGGGATGGTAGGGGAAAATCAAAGGAGAGGAAACAATTCTCCATAAGAAATGGACTCATTATCTTGCTCATGAACTGTAACCTCTCTGTATATGTACATAAAGAATATGATGTTAAAAGAACATTTCTCACACATAAATGTAATGAGCAGAGAATTTGATGGTGAAATTTACAAGTACATAGAAAAAGAAGCAAAATAAACTCGTAAGTTAAAAAAATCTCTTCTGGTAAGTCAAAGTTCAATATCATTTATTCAGTTGACAAACATCTTTAAGAGCATCCACTATATCAGACTATAATCTAGGCAAGAGGATACAACTCTGATTGAGACAGATACAATTAAAGGCATCCTCAAAGCCCATGTTCTCTTTCTAACTGTTCAGAATGTGAACTTGACCCCTGAGCACATTACATCAACAAAGACACATACAATTGCTTGGATGTAAATGTGCTATTCCAAATCTATCTTCATTTGACATGTGTGAGTTCCCACACATGATTATTTTATTTACATTTTAAAGACACATTAGGGCATCCAGTAACCATGGAGCCTGTGACACTTAACCTGATACTTTTACCTCTGGTGGGACATGAAGGAAGAGAGAAACCATTTTAATAAGAACTCATTCAAATGATACAGAGATGTTCATAAGGTAGTGGAGTAAGCAGAATCACTTTAATAATACACAGAATTCAGTCAGCATTTATTGAAAACTATTATATTCAAGCAGAATTAATACCACAATTTATGGGGACTGGGGCAAAACCATAATGCACCATCACTTGTTAGAAAATGATGCAATACAAGATGGCCACAGTAGAACATTAAACCTAGGTGTATCCTCAAAATATGTGTCCCTGCCTGCACAGGTATGTGCATGCAAGGCCTACTTTCAAGCAATTGAGAGAAAGAGAAGAGCATGAACTCACTATGATTAGAGGAGGTTGAGGTAACTGTTGATAAAGATCTAATTTTAAAAGAAGAGCTTTTAGTTGGACAATTCTGGGCAGTGCCCATGAGAAAGAAACATCTGAGTTCAATCCTAAAGGATTGGTGATAACGAACTTGTGATCAAAGCAGAAAAGAAATTGCAGAAGATGAAAAGCACAGATTCTCTCCTCCATTGGCTTCCATATAGCTGCCAGAATAAGCAGCTTAAATAAAATTCTACTTTCTTTAGTAGCCTTACACCATATTCAAGAATTTTGCAAGATAAATACATGTCACCATCATTGATTCAAGCTTATTTTCCACATCCGGATTCTGGCTTTGATCCATGATTCTTGTGCCAAGTAGAGCTGATGGGCTGGACTCTTGGGGTCCTGGGCCTTGGCTTCCATAGGAAAGGCAGAGTTGGGCATGTAGGGGGAGAGAACGCTCTTATTTGAGCTGTGGGTAAAGAAAAGATCTTAATCACAATGGAAAGGACTCAGGGAGACAGGTAGAAAGACAAAGGATTATTCAAGAGAGAAGAATATCGATTAGAAACATACTCATTGCCTTACTCATGTAACTCTAACCCCTCTGTACACTATTTTTGCAATAAAAACATAAAAAAGAAAGAAGAATAAAGCAGAAGACATTGGGTAACCAAAGAACAATAACAAAAGGAGCACCTTTGCTTTCTCCAACATGCTTGCAGTATGACCATGGCCAGGGCAACTACGACAGTCAGACACATCAGTGTCGGGAGGAGGGAGTGTCCACCTGCTTAGGGTAAAAGAAGCATGTCAGCCCCTGAAGTATCTCTAAAGTTGCTCATGTCATTGGGGCTGAGGCTTTCTTGGGGTTCCCATCTGGGTTTTCTAGAGCTCTCACTCAATTCTTCTTGATCTGCGCTCCTTGTCTCCTCACCCAAGGAATAATTCCCTCTTCCTTTTCCCTTTAGTACCTCTAATTCCCTCCTTCCAGTTTCTTCTCATTTAACTGCTAACATTTTCAAATCCTTTTCATTAGACAATTCTGCCTTTATCATTCTTGTGCCTATTATTCCTCCCTCGAAATCTCCAGAACTGTCTCCTGTCATTCCCGCTTAGGTCCCAGCCCCTTCTCACCCCAGTGGATAACTATGTCGTGGCCTCCTAGACTGCTGTGTTTCACTCGACAAGATAGTCCAGCTGTCTGCCCAGCCGCCACATCCAGGGTTGCTCTCAGGTACCAGGTCTCATCCGCATTGGGAAGGATATCACTGTAGCGAGTGCCTGCCTGCTCTTGATCTCCTCGCATCCACATCACCCACACAGGCTTTGGATGGAAGCCAGAGACGTGACACACCAGCTGCAGATGGCCAGGCCCAGGACTGGGGCCACTGGACAGCCAGACTTCAGGCTTCACTGGACAAGAAGATGGGAAGAAATGGAACCTTGGCAGCATCTCAAGCCACAGCTCAGGAATTTGGATGCCTCTGCACTTTGAGTAATCATTACTTTCTCTAGTAAACAAACTAGATATCTCTCCCTGTAGCCTGTCATTATAATATAATGACATGATAATATAATGTTTCAATATAATGATGAAAAGTGACAAGTTAAGCATAGGAGACCAGAGGGTTGGGCTCACCTTGCCGCTCCAGTTCCGACTTCCCTGCTTCGAGAAGACCTGCCAGAAACCGGGGGCAGGTGTCACTGAGAAGGCTATGCACTATTTCCTTAATGATTAAGTATTGGTTGAGCACTCTGCAGACATTCTGAGCCCGCCTTCCTGAGCCTGGAGCTGGCTCCCAGGAACTTCCTTGGAAACTCAGGAGATCTAATCCTTGGTAGGCTCCGTTTAAGAAGCTCTTGTAGGCTTTCCCAGGTTGCATGGTGCACCCACTAGATATCTGGAGCACAAACGGGTCTGAGGGTAGAAAGAAAAGACAATCAATGTAGAAATGACAAGGAGGGAATATAAACAATCTAGAAGCCAGCCCAGCCAGAAAAGCAGAGAAAAATGCCAGGAGAATCATATATGAAAGACTAGATTTGAGATGGGAAATGGGAAGGCAATTTGTGGGGAGAAAAATTGAAGACAGTAAAGGTTCCTTGAAGTAATTAACAGGGAAGTCATGGATGGAAAAGCTGTCAAGAAGGCAGGAAAGGCTGCGTGGAGAAACTCAAATAGGAATAGTGAAGTACAGGTCAGGTCATGTGGGCACTCAGGCAGAGGGGCAGAGGGGGCAGACATAATGCTGTACTCAGGGATGTGAAGAAAAAATGCCCGTGCAAGCTCTGTTCTGTCTGTGGAAGGGTGGTATGGTCGTAAAGGATGGAGAAGGGGACTTTGTGTGAGGCAATGGAAGTCAGAGAATAAGTTTAGAAAGGGAGGAAGATGGTCAAAATTTACATCCCTTGGAAGTCCATCAGGAACCTCAGGCAGAAGATTATCATGGAAAGACAAACTCACAATCAAACTGAAATTGGCTGGCAAAGTTCTGCACTTCCCGGGGAAAGCCATGGATAAACAACTGGAACAGCGCCTGCAGCTTCTTCCACTGCTCCTTGCTGAAATATCCATGGGACCAGGGCTTCTCAAACCTAATGGTGTCCGAGACATTGTCCCAGGCATGAGTCTGCAGCTCACCCAGCCAGGCTGAAAGTTGGGTGTGCGCCCAACTGTGGTTGGCAAAGGAGGTGATGTGGACTATTCTGAAGGTCAGGGGCTCTGCTGGTGTTGAATGATGCCATTCCAGAGTCCGGGATGCTGAGAGAGAGAGAGAGAGAGAGAGAGAGAGAGAGAGAGAGGGGGGACCAAAATATGAGAGAAGAGACACTGATGTAAAAATAGGAATCCAGGATAAAAATAATTACAAGATGCACATTTCCCTGAGCCTCAACTCCCTGAGCCAAGTTCCTCTCTCCAAAACCAGAGACAGAAATAGATACAGCAGGCAAAATTCTTTCCCTGCAACTCTCCTGGAATGCAATCTCCTGGAATGCAGCTTGGAGGAAAGATCAGTGTTCTTTAAAGCCAGATTCTCCCTAAGAGCTTTCTTGCCTCCTGTGCCCATCACAGACATCTTTATACATGAGCTTTCCTTACCAGCCATGCTTTCTCCAGTCCAGACAAGTGCCTTGAAGAGCAGGAGGAACAAGAACAGCATTGAAGCTTTGATGTCTTGGCCAGAAAATGGCCCTTGGAATTCAGATATCAGCTCCCTCCCTGCTCGCTCTCATACTCTCTTCTGTCTTCCTTTGAAGCACACACTACCCTGTACCTCTGCCCACTTCCCTATGAGATAACCTCATTGCTTCTCTCAGCCACAAGGCTCCACAGAGCCTCTCGTTTCCTGTCTATTTCTCCCACTACTGGCTTTTGCTTTGCATTATCTGTATCTTCCTGACCTTTCAACCATCTGGTTGAAAAAGTCATCTTAGAGAAATCAAGTCCATGTTTGGGTTCTCAATGTTTTTGTATATGAAAAGAAGTGGTGGAGGCTACTCAAAGTTCCCCACTGACCCTTCTAGTAGAATCCCCGAGGTGTAGATGCCGGCAAACTGCTCCTTTCCCTGTCTTCCTATCTTCTTCTGTCCCTTGTCTTCTACTCTTTATCTACTAACCCATTACTTGTGCCTCTGAATCAACTTTTGCTCATCTCACTTATCATATATAATTTCCCTGTCTCCTCAGCCTCTCCTCAGTTTCTTCATTCTGTTCTTATCGGAGTCATTCAGAGAAGGCACTGAACATTTCAATGTGGCTTACAATCTACAGGCAAGTCTCCGTAATCCATAGCAGAGAAGGAGTAGAGATGACTAATGTATTCATATTTTCAAGTAGTTTAAAGAAGTGATATTTTGCTCCATTTCCCCAGTGAAATTAAAGGTCACTGTTGAAGGTGTCCTTGAGTGGAGTCATCTCACCTGGAAGTGGTGAACTGCTGGACAGGGAAAGTTTCACCCATATTATAGAGTTGGTCTTGGGGCAACAGAATCCTTGGGTGCCCTATTCTGCCCAAATGAGAGATATCATGAGCATGCATAGAGAGTATGGGCTAGCCCTATGTGGGTATGAAGAAAAATGAATGGAGGCATGAAGGCTACAAGCACTGGTGACCCCATGGTAACGTCTGGGACTGCAGTATTCTTTTTTTATATATATATATTTTTTATTTTAATTTCAGTTTAATTTTATTGTAATGGTAATGTACAGAAGGGTAACAGTTACATAAGTAACTTAATGAGTACATTTCTTTTTTTAATTTTATTTTATTTGTGAACATACTGTACAGAGGGGTTACAATTGCATGGGCAGGATAATGCGTACATGGGACTGCAGTATTCTTGGAAGAATTAATTACCATAACAAGGCTTAAAATGTATTCTTTGATAATTGTTATGACAGCCTTAGGCAGTCAATGTCTCATTCTTATGTTTTGTTTTCCTATCTTTATTCACGTAGCATTAGCTTGCAGCCCGTGTAGTTCAAAAATATACATTAGACACTAAGAATCCAGAGATAAAAGTCCTTATGATAAAATAAAATAAAAGTCCTATGCAAAACCTCTACTTTTCTTACTGAGTAGATTCACGTTAGAGAGGTCAGCTGTCATCCAACTGTGCTGTGCATGGTAGGAAAAGAGCTGAAACCCTCATGAATAGAGACAACACAGGATGGGGAGGATGCAGATGCACAGTCCTGTCCCCCAAGAATGCTGTGCTTCACACAACAGGTCAGCCCCACCCCCCTAACCCCATGACCCCTCAGCTGCCATATCCAGGGTTGCTCGCAGATACGATGTCCCATCGGCATATGTCAGCAAGTGACCTCTCTGGAAGTCTCTCTGCTTCACCTCACCCCACAGACAAATCACACACACAGTCTGGTGAGAAGCCAGAGAGAGACATGACACACCAGCTGCAGATGGCCAGGCCCAGGACTGGGGCCACTGGACAGCCAGGCTTCAGGCTTCACTGGAGCAGGAAGAGGCAGAGACAATACTAGAAAATAACTCTAACCTGGGGCATATGGACTTCAAAGACCACAATTTGGACATTTACTATCCAATTCTTTGGTAACAAAATCAATGACTGATGGAATCCCACTCCTTCTTGGGCATCTCCCTGCTCTCTTAGGCAAAAGAGACACAGAGCAGGTCAAACCTTGCTTCTCCAGATTCTCCTTTCCCGCTTCAAAAAGGCTCAAGAGATATCCAGAGCAGATTTTTTAGAGCAGAGTACCCACAATTTCCGAGAAACATTTGTACTGGTGGATTAATGTGCAGAATTTCTGAGCTCTTCTGCCACCTTCTGGTGCAAGTACACAGGAATGGTTCTTGACATACAGGAAATCCAGTTTTCCTAATGCTCCTGTCAGGAAGCTTAGGATGGCTCCCCCAGAATGCAGTTCACAGCCTGCTGTGCCCTGGATCTCAAAGGGATCTGACAGGAAGAAAGCAAGAAAAGTTAGGTTATTAAACAGAAAACAAGACAGAAAGAGATGTAAGAGAGGTCGAGGAATTCAGATTTTATGAGCCTATAATTCTGGAGTGTGAAATGCTGAGCTGAAACAATTACAACAGGTAGAGAGGCAGGCATATCAGGAATGGGCCAGAGTAGGGTGTGTGGTAGGGGAGAGGAGAAGGAAGAGGAGTGAGGAGCAGTTGGAGTCAAAACTTCCTGAGGGAAATAAGAGACTCACTTAGAGAGGATCAATCAGGAACAATAAAGCCCCAAAATTGAGTAAGAAGAAGTCGCATTTTAGGACATTCAGGCATAAGGAAAGAAAGGCAGGACAAGTTTCTCACAAAAAAAAAAACAAGGCCTTGGTCACAAAGAAAGTGATTTCCTCCATCAGAGATCAAAGGAAAAGCATCCACATCTGAATATTTCAAAGAGATGTAGAGATTGCTCTAGAGAAAGGTGTGCAGGCAGATAGGGGTGGAGAGGGGGATTCAGGGCAGGGGAGAGAAGGAGGAGAGGCAACAGTGCTCACATTGCAACTGGAAATCACTGGCATGTTTTTGCACTTCCTCCATGAATCCAAAGTAGTACACTCAGAATATCTCCAACAGCTCTGTCACTTCAGCATCAATGAAATTCCCCTTGGACCAAGGCTTCAGAAATATGGGAGTGGCTGACTCACGGTCCCAGCCATGAATCTGCAAATCATCCAGCCAACATGAAAATTGAGTTTCTGCCCACGTGCTGTTGGCAAATGATGAGATTGAAAGCAGTGGCTTCTGGAAGGCTGTGGATAAAGGACAGAAACATGAAAGGAAACTTAGGAATGGCATGGAGGAAGGATGAAAGCATGGACACTTAGAAAATGTGAAAGCACAAACTCAGAATCTGTGCAACCCATGAGCACTGTCTCTTTAAGAGCCTTGGGCCTCAGGCTTCAGCCCCAACTTCAAGAAGGGTCAAGACACTGGAGACAGGAGGCCTCAGAGCCTAGTTGACCAAGCTCACCAGACTAAGTGCAGCCTGTCTTTACCAGACCCTCCTCACAGGGCAGGCTGCTACCCCAGTTGCTCTTACCATCCTGATTGTCCCCAGCTGGGAAGAGCACAGCTAGCAACACAAGTGGCAGGAGCAGCATCTCCCAGAGAGGACCTCAGGAGCTCAGGGCTGCGCTTGATGTCTGATTCTGCAATGCTGCTGCTCAGGACTCGGTACAGACTTCCTGTCTCTCCCACCTGAAAACTCTCTTCATAGAACTTGCAGATCAGAGAGGGAAATGTGTCCTTCTTGCACAGCCTGCCTTCTCCACACCAGGTTTCACTTCCCTCTTCCTTCCTTGGCCTGCAGCTTCTCTCCATGACTCCACGTTAATCAGATGACCTCAAAAGAAATTCCCCTTGTCACAATACAAGCTTCTCAACCTCTCTAAGCTTCGATGTCATATCTATACATACAGGGGTATACACAACAGTTGCTCAGCTTCATGAACATCTGAACCCTGGAAGGAGTTTTTGGTTTATGCACCCAGTTCATCCTCCATCCTCCCACTGTTCTGTCTTCTCCCTTAATGTCATGACTCTTCCTACTGTTGTCCACAGCTTCATTCCCTGTTTTATCTCCTTGTCTGGATTCCCTAATCTCATATTCTTAATTCTAGGTTCCTGTTTTCATATCTTCTCTTCTACTTTATCAAACTATCCAGAATTTTCCAATTAAATTGTTAAAAAAAAGACAATTTGCCAAGTTCCAGTTGAAAAAGCAGAACCACACAACTGAAAAGACAGTAGAAAAACCTTATGTTCTTTCTTTGTTTACCAATCTGCTAAATATAAAGAATAAATATATCTGTGAGTTGAAACATTTTCAGGCCATTTAAACACAAAAATTTCAATACCCACAATTAAATCAAAGTAGGACGCTGATTTTAAAAGCAGATAAGTACCTTAAAATTTGTTCAAACAAATGTATTTATGTTAGTTTTAGTTTTAGTTTGCCACCACTTGTCCAGTTAAAAGGCTTGGGCCTGCCACTCCTCCTTTTCCTGTGATACACTGTTTACTCAATCTCTGCTAGGCTTATCATCTTGTGTGGGGTGTATTTCCATATTGCAAATTCAAATGGGTTCTATTGGTCTAGTTAATCACCTCCAGTTTTCAGGTTTTCAGGCTCCAAGAGGGAGAGGTCTGAGGCACCTCTTTGTCACACATCATGACAGTATGCATGCCAATTACTTAGTGTTAACCTGAGAGCACAGCACTGACTGTGGGTTCTTCAACAACCACCTGTTGAAGCTGATCTTATTTTGGATCTTCTCCATGGAAAGAAAGCATTGTTCTCTCCAGTGCTCAAGGGGGTTGTGTTTTCCTTGGCAATGCTGCGACCAGGATATACTGGACAGAAATATGTCAAGTTATATTCATAGTGGCTGGCATAATGAAGATATTTGTGCTCTTCCTTGGAGTTGGATTTCTCCCTGGTAAAAAGGTGTGTTCTCTTCTGTTCTATGGAACCCTTCAACAATGATTAACCATAGGATTTATTTTTGTTTTTGTTTTTGTCCGATATGGAGCTTGGACTCAGGGCCCGGCATTCTCCCTAAGTTCTTTTGCTCAAGACTAGCACTCTAACTCTATGTCTGCTTTTCTGAGAGTTATTGGGCATATGAGTCTCGTCAGTTTCATATTTGAGTATTTGAGCTGGCTTTGAACCCCAATACTCACATCACAGGTTCCTGAGTACTTAAAATAGGAGCTGTGAGTCACCAACTCCTAGACTATGAGATCCTTTCAGTGTAATTTGATTAGCTGTAGACAGGATTTCATGTGTATCACTAAATGTATACTTTATTTGTGATTGTTTGGCTTATTTTCCCTGTTTTCTTCTGCCTCTCTACAAATAGAAACACGCATCTCAATAAACTTACAGTAACAGAATGGGATGTAGATAAAGCTGTTTATTAAAGCTGACCAGAAATACACAAGTATCATGTATAATATTCTAGTAATTTTTCTTTGAAACAGTGCTTTTATTTCATATATTCTGAGTCCTTGTTGTTTTCACATGAATTCTAGTAGCCTAGTTTTTTTTTTAATAAAAAATGTAACCAAAACACACACCCTGCCAAAAAATTTCCCTCTTGGCTTTAAATGTGTTAGAGCCACACCAATGGACCATATTGGCATACCAGGGTGAGTCTCCTAATGTTTAAGGCTGAGATCTGAGCATTACAGTACAAAGGTATCCCAGGCAGGAAGGTCCATAAGACTCTTATCTCCAATAAACAACTCAGAAGAGACCAAAATTGGCACAGAGTTCAAGTGGTAGAGAGCACTGTGCTTGAGTCCAGACCGGCTCTGGGAAAGGCCCTAAGACCTAAATTGTACATGTGTCTTATAGCATGCTGAGCTCAAACTGAATTTACATAAATCCTCTGAGACCTCTGTGATCTCATTTACTGTGAAGAGGTAATTTTGCCTGACTATTCAACCTGAAGAAAAAGGAGAAAAGAAGTGATTTCTTGATTCCCAAGACACGTTGAGAGTCAGGAGCTGATGCTATTGCACACAAGAGGTTTCAGGAGACCAAACACAGGCAAAGCAGCTTCCAGAACTGGCTATCAATGTGCCAAGGAGCTGGGAAGGCTCTGCATATCTCGAAACTCTATGTGGAGCATCTGAAATTCCGAAAAGGCATCAGAAGATCATTCAGAGAACTGAAAAGAAAAGGTGGTAGCATTCTAGACAAGATAACATTTTCCCAATGTGAATGTTGCTTTGAGTGACGCTGTGGGAAGCAGACAGTTAACAAATGGAAGCATACACAGAATGGAAGCATCAGAGAAGTTGCAGTTGGTAACTGATGCTCAGAGGGTGCATTGTGAGCCTCCCGCCACAAGTGAGGCCTATGTTCAGTGGGATACATTCCCAGGAAATTAAGAAATAACCCCAAATGGTGAGAAAAAAGACAAAGGGTGAACCAATGCAATAACAATACCCACAAGACCCTATGTTGGAAATGAATTTTACAACATAGGGGCAGGAAGTCAGGTGGGAGACAATCCAGAGGGGTAACAATATTCGACGAGAAATGTACACATTGTAACTGTAACTCCTCCGTGCAATACCTTCATACTAAATTGTTAATGAAAGAATCATGCTTATAATACCATGAAAAAGAATAAAATAATTAGAAATAAGAATGGAAGGAGAGTCAAAACTAATACACAAAAAATATAATCCGTTGATCAGGGAAGATAAATAAATAAGAGAAAAATCCAATGATCATTGAAATTGGAAAGGCTGATATGACTAAAATATCCATTCTATCTAAAACAATCTACAGATTCCAGATTAAATTTATGTGCTCATAGAAATCTGAGTGGCCCTATTTAAATAAAATAAGAATAGAAAAAAATCACATAAAATCACAAAGCACTAAAAATAAGCGCAATATACTTAGAATTAAAATAAAAATAAAAGCATCATACTGCCTGGTATCAAATTTTATGGCCAAGATTCTAAATTAAATGTAATAGATAAATCAGTCCTATAACCTAATCATGTAAATTGATTTAATCATTTCACAGTGTGTTTGTGCGCTCTAATACCACATTATATGATATAAATGCACACAATTATTTCCAATTCTAAATTGTAAAAATCAATCAATATTATTGATAGAAAAAAAATCCAGAACTTTACAACTTCTAGGATATGGAGGAGGAGTTGCAGAGGTGAAGAAAGAAGGGATGGTAGGGAAAAAGAAAAGGAGGAGGTTACAATGTCCGATAGGAAATGTACTCATTACCTTATTCCTGTAACTGTAACACCTTTGTAAAGTATTTTTACAATAAAAATTTATACAAAAAAAACAGAACATGTAAAAAAAGAAAAAAAAGAAAAGAAATCCAGAAAATGCTTCTATCATAAGACACATAGAATTTGACAAATGCATGTGTGAAGGAGGTTAGATGCAGTATTTCCTTAATATTTACCCATAAGGAGAGGGAACTAAAGGATGTTGGTATTTCTTTTTTGGGTTTGTGGGGGGTCTGGTCATGGGGTCTGAACTCTGGGCCTGGGCGCTGTCCCTCAGCTCTTCAGCTCAAGGCTAGCGCTCCACCACTTGAGCCACAGCGCCACTTCCAACTTTTTTCATTTTGCTTATGTGGTGCTGAGGAATCAAACCAGAGCCTCGGGCATGCAAGGCAAGTGCTCTACCACTGAGCCACCTTCCCAGCCCCGATGTTGGAATTTCTAAGCTATGTCAGCCCCCAAACAAAGAATGGCATGAGTGTTTCAAATGTTAGGAATAAATAAAATGATAAAACAAAATCTACCCACAGGAGTTGATCCAACATGGACATAGTACTTCTTTGAACGTTTTGCTTAATTTTTCAGCAAGCAGAATTATATAGATGAATGGCACTTTGCAATGCCATGACCCCCTAAACACTTAAACATAAAATGGAGAAGAAAGCTCAAGTACCTGCAAGACAAGCAGGAAATGACACATGCTTGTGGTTTCCTGCTAAGAGGTCCTGGAAGACCTACCTCTAAAGAAACATCAGAAATGGACTTTGCAGTTTTACCACTACTGAAAATGGAAGTGCCATTATGTACAGAGTTCCAGATATCAAATTAAATGAGACTCATGAGTGATTCTCAGACAAAAAGAGAATCAGTAGAGATACATGGAAGAAAGGATGGCATCACTTGCTTGTCTTGAGCTCCAGGACTGCTGGCTTCTCAATACAAAGTAGGAAGCACGGTGAGACATCTCATGGAATACCCCGATAGGACCTGTGACAAGACAGAAGTGACAGAAACCTGGGTCAGGAGGAGGTGATGAGAGAAAGGCTGAGCAAGGGAACAGAGAAAATAAAAGTATACAATAAGACGACTCTGAAGACATAAGAAAACACAGGAACTCACCAACGCCTCTTAAACCATAACACAAGGACTATCAAAAGGATCAAGGGCACCACCACTGCCAAGATGATCAAGCTCATGGAAAGACTGTGTCCTGTAGATACGGAAAACATCCAAAGACACCATCTGAATCTCATGCACACATCTAAATCATCCCTAGACTGCCTGGCTTAGAATGTGTATTGAGCATAAGCCATAGCAAAAAATCTGGTTCAGACACTCTATTTCTATACGTCTCTAGGTTTGTTTCTGTTTATGTGCTGCTTCTCAAGCTAGCATTATATAGGTCTGGGCATTGTCTGGACTTGAGCAGTCCTGACCTTCTCTGGCTCACGGTTAATGCTCTAACACTTCACCCACATCTCCACTTCCAGATTTGGAGTAATTGATTGGAGATAGCAGTCTCACAGTCTTTCCTGCTCTGGTTGACTTTAAACCACGATCCTCAGATCTCAGCCTCCCACTTAGCTAGGATTACAGATGTGAGCACAACACTACCCAGCTCACATGACAATTCCTTAACTTCCCTCCAGATTTCCTGGATCCATTTCTCATTCATGTTCCACTCCTTCATTCCACGAATCAGGCATTTGTTTTTATATGTATTTTTTTCATGACATCCCTCATCTGCAGCTGATATCACCAACTTCCCCTCATTTCTACCTTCAGTCTCAATGAAAACCCACTGGCACACCCAACCCCTAACCTTACCCCAGTAGAGAATGAGGTCCTGGTCTCCTAGACTGCTGTGTTTCACATGACAAGACAAACCAACAGCATCCTCAGCCTCCACCTCCAGGATCACACGAACATACCAAGTCCCATCAGCATTGGGAAGAACATCATCACGTTTACTGTCCACTTGCTCTTGCTCACCCCTCATCCACATCACCCAAATGGACATTGGGTAGAAACCAGAGACGTGGCAAACCAACATTAGTCTGCCAGACCCAAGGATAGAGGAGCTTGACAGCCAGGCCTCTGGCCTCATTGTAGAGAATACAAGAGGGAGTCACATGAGGACAGATGTGCACCTAACACATGGCTTCAGTACATAGATATCTGCCTAATGTCTTTTGTCTCCCTTAGGGAATTCTCACCCTGAAACCCACTCCCTCTTGTCCTCCACCATGTCCTGAGTTCAAACAGGAAGGTGAGAAGGGGAAGACATGAAGAAAACACCTTAGACGGAAGGGCTGAACTGACCTTGTCTCTGAAGATACATCTTTCCTGCATCCAGGATACCCAAGAGGAACTAAGGGCAGGTTTTGCTCATAAGGTTCTCCACGATTTGCTTGATGCCCTCATACAGATTGAGGAGATCACACGCCTTCTGGGCCTGTTTCCCACCTTCAGGAGATGGCACCCAGGTTGTATTCTGAAAACTTAGAAAATCTGATCCTTCCAAAGCCGCCTGCATGAAGCCTTTGTCACTCTCGCTAGAGGACAGCTCACAGCCAAGTCTCACTTGTAATTCAACAGGATCTTCAGAAAGGAAAGAATGAGATAAAGAGTTCAAATAAACAAAAATGAAAGCCAGGTTAGAATCTAAGGGCCTTGTCTGAATAAGAATAGTGCAAAGATGGGTCATATTATGTAGGAGAGTGAGCCAAAGATACATATAGTCAAAAACAAGGGAGAGCAAATACCTGCTGCAGAAAAGAAAGAAGGAAATAAGAAACAAAAGTCCTTGAATTAAAGATTGACCAATGAAATTCAGGGAAAATAAGACCTGAAACTGACATAATACAGACTAGGTACTTCACAGAGACAGGAGCCCAAATCTTATGATGCATAGAGTCAGCATCACAAGTGCTAGATAATGAGTCCAAATGTCTAAAGAAATTGAAGAAATAGCAGAAGGGATTATATTTTAAAAGACTCAAGCATAGGATAAGACAATTCCCTACCTCTAACTTAAAGACACAGATGAAGATCACAAGAAAACACAACAAAGCACAATAGAAAAGACTGCTGAAGTGGCAAAAATCTAGGTAGTTTTGATTAATGTTCAACACATAACTCGAGAGATGGAGGCATGGAGACTTTTGTTGTGAGATGAGATGATGAGAAATCCAATCAAAAGGAATAGAGAAAGTGTTTCAATTACAAGAACCCTCTGAAGAATTCTCCCAATTGGTTAAACTTACACCTAAACCCCAAGTCTGTGGAGTAGGTATGAATCTCCTGACGTATCCCAATCATATACACACAGAAAAGCAGCTCCAGATCTGTCAACTCCTCATTACTGAAGTTTCCCTTGGACCATGTGTGCAAGAAAATTACTGTTCCTGTTTCACTGTCCCAACGATGAGTCTGTAATTCATCCAACCAAGCAGACCCCAGAGTTTGTGCCCAGGATTCATTGGCATAGTATGAGATCTGGCTGAGACGAAATGTGGTATGTTCATGAATCACTATGGATGGATGGATGTCCAGTAGCATATGTGAAAACAAAAGCAAAACAGAGAGAAGATAGAAAACAAACCAGTTACTAGAGAGAGAAGGATAACAACCAGTTCATCAATAATAATTTCCCTCCCCAAGCCCTTGGTGCTCTAGCACCATCCTCAAAAACAATCAACTGGACTTGAACACCAAGAAGCAGATTATAACAATCTTAGCATTCACAGTAAAATATCTTAGAAAGCCAACTAAAATCCACTCCCATGCACCCTACTAGACAGCTGACATATATGATCTTACCCTCCGGGTTGACACTGCCTGGGAGGAGAGCAGCCAGCAGTGGAAGTTGAAGAAACAGCATAGCATAAGCAGATGTGTGCTTCCTTCTCTAAACAAAGCTGATCTTTGATGTCTGCTAGCAACTAAGCTACCCTGCCTCAACTCTCTTCTGTCTTCCTTCTCCCACCAACAATGATTTCCAACAGCAACTGAATATAAGAAAACCTTTCTATTTTCTCAGCCTCACCTTCCTACTCCATCCTTCATTTCCCTCCCATCTGAACTCAAGTCATTCCCTTCTCTCTCATTTCCAGCCACCCTCCTTTTCACTAAGTTCTGCCCCCATGTAACTCTCTTCCTCAGCTGTTCCTCTTCCAAGGGGTGTGTGATATGGAAAGGTCACTTCATCTAGCTGTAACATTACAAAGGAGAAGTTGTATGGTTGCCCAGTTTCTATACATAACTGTGTTTCTACACTCAATCGTGTCTCTTATTCTGATCAACCCAGCCTTCCCTCCCCATTCCAGGTGTCCTGAAACTCATCTCTGCTCCTTCTCACCCTTTATCCTTTCTCGTTTCTTGAGATTCACTGGTTCTTTTGTAAATTGGAGAATTTGTGGTCTCACATCTCCTGTGACTGCTCCAGGCACCCACCACTGCCTTAGTGGTGACATAGAAGACATTCCCAGTACACGAGACTATAAAACTACAAATAACCCCTTCTACTCACTCTAATTCATATATTTATTCACCAAAATACCTATCTGTCCACAGGTATCTCATCAAGCATATGAGCATGTGGAGATTGACAGGATAATCTCATCTGCCACAGCATTCCCAACTGCAGAAGGACATTCAGGACTGCAATGCACTCTGGTGAATAATATTTCTATGCATGGAATCCCAGGTATAAACCTGGTGGGCTTTTTATAAACATTTTCTTGAGCAACATTTGACTACCCAGTAATGCATTTAGACTTAGTTATGAGCCTATAATTAAGATTTCAGTTGTGCAGTATTCACTTCCACGAAAAGGATAACTTCTTGGGTGATAGCAAGGACAAAGGCAGCATTGCAGTGAAAACCAATATCTATATTTAAGGTAAATTTGTGACCTCATCAAAATATATTGTCCAGCCAAGATCCAATAGATTATGCTTGGAATCCTAGCTACTAAGGGGGCTGATATCTGAGGACTACAGTTCAAAGCCAGCATGACCAAGAGACTCTGAGACTCTTATTTCCTATTAACCAACAGAACACCAGAAGTGGCACTATGGATCAAGTGGTAGAGCACCAGACTTGATCAATGAAAAGCTTAAAAACAGCAGGCCCTGGAAGTGGCACTGTAGCACAAGTGGTAGAGTGCTAGCTTTGAACTGAAGAGCTGAGAGACAGCGCTCAGACCCAGAGTTCAAGCACCCAAGAGCAACAAAAAAAAAAAAACAGCCGGCCCTTATTCAAACCCCAACCAGCACCAAATATACATCATCCTAAAATGACAGCATTTTCTATATTGAATTTATATAGGTAAATTTTCAGAGATACTTAGTGGTTTGTTACTAATCCTGTTATTGTCAATGTTATGTCTCAACATCTGAACATAACATCAATTTTAGACCCCAGACAATACATCTGTTATCATAGTGTTCCTAAATTAACATTCATGAAAGTGAAGGTGAAATTCTTCTTTTTAAATAAACAAATGTATACATTTTATTTTGTACTCTTCTTTTTAATGTATATATATACACACATATATATATATATATATATATCCAATGTGCATATATTCCCCCTGAATCTCACATTTGTCTGCATTAATAAAGAGGTTGGGTGTCCCCTCAATCATCTTTTCCTATTACTGCCACAGACACCTGACAGTGTCCATGAACTAACAACATGGTTACACTGAGACACAGCATAAACCCTATACAAGTTCCTCAAAAGCACAAGGCTTTGCCTTCATTTCCAGCAAGTTCTCACTTTGGGGTTTTAGAAATTCATAGCAGATAGAAAGCCAGACATTTGTCACATTGGGGGATTTTTTGCCATGAGAGTACAGGGACAGGAGAAACACAAATTCTCCTACTCTCTTGTAATTGGGTGAGAGCTATAAGGTTGAGATCTGAACAAGAGAATGTGGAATGCTGGAGGGAGGAGCCACCTATGTGTTTAACCATTTAAGCCTGCCCTGTGGCACCAGCTTCCAGAATGGCAGAGGTAGGAGATGGAGGAAGGCTTCCCAGTTTGCATGAAGCCTACAAATGAGGAAGACAACTTTTCTAAGGCTCTACAGCTGTGACTGATTATACATTGTACATCTAACATTCAGATATAATGGCTAATTTTATAGGAATTCTATAAGAAGCCTCCTTTTCCCTTCTCCTAAATCCAAACCTATATGAGATCAAGAAAAAAAAGAGATTAAATATTTGCTTCTGCTATAGCTGCTGATTATTTGCCTCAAGTGTGTGATGCATATAGCCTTCTTCCTTTCAGCCCCAAATAAATGACCAAACTCACTGCTACAAACTGGATGTGTTACAGATTGCTCTCTCTCCTTTCCTCCCTCCCTCCACTACAAATTGGATGTGTTACAAATTTCCCTCCCTCCCTCTCTCACTCGCTCTCTCTTCCCTATCTCTCTCTGTCTCTCCTTCCTCTCTGCATCCTCACTCAGGCTGTCAATGGTTACTCTGAGACTCACTCTTATCCTTGTCATCTGCACTCTTGCTAAAGGCCCAAAACAATAGAACTGCCCAACTTTAAACTAGAAATTCCAGAAACATGAGCTACATAGACATGTGCTCCTTCTAAGTTGATTTTCTGACCTATTTCATTATAATAATGGAAAAGTGAGTGCCAGAAACAATCATACTGGCACTTGGGACAGCAACCTAACTAGATCTGAAAATGTAGACGTGTGGTTTAAAGGAGTACAAAGGAAGAGTCAGGAGGAAAGGGACTGAAAACCTAGGGTATTGTAAGTAGGAAGTTTCTGTAGGGGCTCAAAGCACATGGACTCGGCCACAGTTGGTAGAACCTGGACTCGGCCACAGCTGGTTTGACATGGACTCTACCACAGCTGGTGGAACGTTGGTGGCAGGGGCCCAGTCCCAGGAGATCCCAGCCCTTCCCAGGCCAGCTCAAGCCAGGCCTTCTCCACCAAGTTCTGATCTCTTCTTCCCCTTACCAGAGCTCCACGCTGGCCAGGAAGATGAAAGGCCCCAGCTGGAAACTCCTTGCCACCAGAGCTGGGTCCTCAGGACTGCCATCCAGGCTGGTCGCCCGGATGGTGACCCCAGCCTCAGCCCCATACAGGCAGCCTCTGGTGGCTGACTTTGTAGACTATAAAGTGAGGCAGAGGGTTATGTCTGTGGAGCTGGGCCTGAGGAGGGTCCAGAAGCTGACCTGCTGCATCAAGCCATGGAGGCAGCTGGAGATGAACCTGAGACCCACTTCCCACACTCCTTCTCTGTTCTGACAGCTCAGCTGCATGGCACCACAGACTCAGCCCAGCAACTTCACCCAGGTCTCTGATGAACTTTTCCAAGGGAGCCCCAATTGGGGCAGGAGTGGATGATGGCATACCTGGACACATGCCTGGCCGACTGGATCCACAGCAGAGCGGTCTGGGCAGAGTTCACAGCTCTATACAGGAGGAGGCCCGGGAGGAGGCCAGGTGTCAGTGGGAGGAGCACTGGGCATCAGTGAGGGCTGTGCTGAATGGGGCTATGGCACTGAGGACCCTGGTAACTAACCTTAGGGGCACTTTTTGGTAGCAAGTCAGAGAAAGTCGGGGGCCAGGTGTGGCTAAGTGTGGCTGAGGAGGGAGGGGGGCAGGAGAGCAAGGAAGACACAAAGAATGCCTTTGGAACAAGGCAGGGTTGAGGGGGGGAGAAAGGGGAGGAATGAATGGTCATGGAGCCGGGAAGGGCAGGGGAAGGAAGGTCATGCATGAGGAAGCCAGGCAGGTGTCTGGAAGAGTGAGCAGGAGATATTGGGGAATGTTTTAAGAAGGTGAGAGTCTAGGAGACGCAACCATTCCAGGAATTGGGAGGGAGGAAGGGGGAATGATCTATAGGATGCTCTGTAGGATGAGCGTAGGAAAACACTTGAGGCTGGCTTTACAACTCCAAGGAAGGTGGACTTGAATGAGGAATTGTGCCCCATTGGCTGAGTGGGATTTGGGACCCCAGAAGGTGCATCCCTTTGGAATGAAACCTTGGTAATGAGGTGACTGGGAGAGGTGGCCATGGATGAGGGCTGCTTGGATGTGTGTGCATGTGCACGTGTGCTCCTGTGCACGCTGGACTGTTTCTCTAATCTGGTGATGGAAAAATTCTTCACGGAGAAAACATTCCCTCTTGCAACGTCAAGAACAAGAAGGGATAGGTCTTTGCCCTTCCTCTCTGCAGAAAGTCACTGGCAGGGCTTTGGAGAAAGCAGCTGCTCTGAAACTGGCCTTGTTCCTTCCTCATCCCCTCTGTGTATCTTGAACTTGCTGCTGCCTCCTGCGCTGATTGAGGACAGGGCTGTGGAGCCTGGCTGCGTGGAGGTTTTGGTAGCTGAAACTGCCTGCTGCCCTTCCCTCCCACTGGGACACAATGGTGCCTAAATTGTTGCCTATTTGGGGGACCTCTGCACCTACACTGAAACTCTAAATTGGGGCTCTGATTTTCCTCTCATGGATATGGGCATAAATGCTCATCTAGAATA